AGCCCCTCCCCCTCTGCTGCGCGCCATCTGGGGCCTCTCCCGCAGCTCTCTCCAGCCGCCTGCACTCCGCCACACCCGATTTTAGTTGGTTTCTGAGGAGATGACAGGGGCGACTTGGAGATCTTTCTGCCTGTAAACTCTCTCAAAGACTTCGCCCCAGATCTCTCCCAGGTTCCTCCAGGACCGCCCCAGGGATCCCTCCCTCCGACCGCCTCGGAGGCTCTGGCTCCAAGATACCTCCCTAGGCCCACGCCCCGCCCCCCAGGCCTGCCTTCTCACCCTCCTCGCACAGCTGGTCCCCCCAACCAGTCCCAGGGCGGCAGGGGTCTGTGGTGCCCTGCCCAGGGAAGCCAGCAGCGGAGGGCGGAAGACACTCCCTTCCTCACCCTGCACACCTGCCCAGCACAGCTGGAGCGCTACTCGGCCGGGCCTCCAGCGGGTGTTTTATCAGTTCCCACATGGACAGTGTGTGCCAGTGCCCTTCCAAGCCCCAAAGGCTATCTTTTTTGAGTAGATTTGTTTTCTGGAAAAAGTGTGAACACTTTTGCAGTCAGTGTTGTAAACAATAAACCAAAAAGACCAAACCCACTGCTGCGGAGTCCATTCTGAGTCACAGCGCCCCTAGAGGACAGAGTGGAACTGCCCCAGAGAGTCTCCGAGGCTGTCAGTCTTCACAGAAGCAAAGAAAGCCCAAATCACACCCACTGCCCTGGAGTCCATTCTGACCCACAGCGCCCCTAGAGGACAGAGTGGAACTGCCCACAGGGTCTCCCAGGCTGTCAGTCTTCACAGAAGCAAAGCCCAAACCACACCCACTGCCCTGGAGTCCATTCTGACCCACAGCGCCCCTAGAGGACAGAGTGGAACTGCCCGGGAGGGTCTCCAAGGCTGTCAGTCTTCACAGAAGCAGATCGCCCCATCTTCCTCCGGTGGAGCGTCTGGTGGGTTGGAACCGCCTTCTGGTTAGCAGCCAAATGCCTCATCTGCTGCGCCTGAGCTCCTTTGTAAATACTAAAGCAGCTGTTTTCCTCGGGGAAATAAAAGAGGTGACGTGCAAGTAGTGAGGCTGATGTTTCTGAAGACTCCCTGAGTGACCCCAATGGCACGTGATCCCTTCACCCCACGATCATGCTGCCCTACTCTGAGTCAGACCCAGCTCCCTTGGGATGCACAGATGACAAGGCCAGGGTCCCTGTGCTTGAGGGGCACCCGGGGAGTGGGAGGCCAGCACACATTTCCGACAGAACTTCCAGAAGAACTTGAAGCAGCGGGATGTCACCGCAATGAGTCTTCCTCCCTCTGCGTGCCCACATCCTGGTGTGAGACGTTGCCTGCCCAGTGGCTGCCAGCTGGCCCGCAGCCCGTGGCCAGCAGGACACTTTTTGCAGGTGTATGGAATGATCCGGTTCTCCGACGCTACGGGCCAAATGTCTGACCTCAACAGAATGGTGGTCCAGGAGCTGAACGCGGCACTGGAGCTCGGCAGCCCTCCGCAGTACACGCAGGCCATGTTCAAGCTGACAGCCATGCTCATCACCAGCAGAGGTGAGGAGGCCACAGGTGGCGTGGTGGCCGTGACCCTCTGTCAGCCGGCAGCCTGGCACAGGGAGAGAAACGCCCGTGGCATCTCTCTGAGGCAGGAGTAACTAAGAGGCCGGCCTGTTTGTCGAACGTTGGCCCCAGCTAGTGCTGCTTTGTGGTGGGTCTGAGGGGCTTGTGTGTGGGGTACATGTTGGAAGGCAGCTCAGCACCCTCTGTTTCTTCCAGATTGTGACCCCCAACTCCTGCACCACCTCTGCTGGGGTCCCCTACGGATGTTCAATGAGCACGGCATGGAGACAGCCCTGGCTTGCTGGGAGTGGCTGCTGGCTGGCAAGAACGGCGTGGAAGTGCCGGTAGGAGCGGGGTGCAGGCCAGCGCCCAGGGTGGGGTATGTGCTGCCAGGGCGGTGTGCAGAGCCCACCCTGGCTCCACCTTGGCGGCTCAGAGACCAGGGCAGGCCCCTCAGCCTCACTGCACGTCATGTTACGTTCCTCCTGCTTCACCGTGGAACTGCTATGGGGATAGGAGCAAGTACCTGGGACACATCCCAGGCCTAGCCTGGTTGCTGTTGAGTTGACCCCAAGGCACGATGCCCCGTGTGCATCAGAGTCCTGTGCCCATGGGGTTTTCTTTTTCCTTTTTTTAAATAGTTTTTTTTTATTTTGTTTGGTGGCTGAGAATATATGCAGCAAAATCATGCCCCGTTCATGTTCCTACGTGTGTGGTTCAGGGGCGTTGATGACATGCTGAGCCCTGTGACCATTCGCATCTTCCTACCCTGAGTTGTTACAGAGTTCTCACTGGACCGGTTTTCAAAAGTGGATTGCCACACCATTCTTCCAAGGTGCCTCTGGGTGGACTCGAACCTCCAGCCTTTGGGCTACCAGTCGAGTGCGTTAACCTTTTGTGCTGCCCAGAGACTCCTCCAGTGCTAATTAAAGTCAAACTCTCTGCCTTTGAGTTGATTCCAACTCATAGCAACTGTGTCTGTGGCACAGAGTAACTGTCAGTCTTCAGAGAAGCAAAACCCAAACCAAACCCACTGCCATCCAGTCAATTCTGACCCACAGCGCCCCTAGAGGACAGAGTGGAACTGCCCCAGAGGGTCTCCAAGGCTGTCAGTCTTCGCAGAGCCCAAACCACACCCACTGTTGAGGGGTGTATTCCACTCACGGCGCCCCTAGAGGACAGAGTGGAACTGCCTCACAGGGGCTCCAAGGTTGTCAATCTTTCTCCCGCAAAGCAGCTGATGGGTTTGAACCACTGACCTTTTTTTTGGGTCAGCAGCTGAATGGTTTAATCACTGCCCCACCCAGGGCTCCTTCAATGGTACTTGGAAAGTGGTGTTTCTCATAGGCTCCGTAGGAGGTGCTATTTCTCTACCAGGGCTGGAAGCCGTTCTTGTGTGGACATCCGTCAGCCTGACCAGGGGCCCTTGTGCTTGTCCACAGCAGTTTTCTTGGGCAGCTCAGTCTGGGCACAGCAGCCTTCTTGGCATCTGCATTTCTGAGTGTCCCGTCAGTCCTTAAGACTTAGGGCTCTCCACAACCTGGGAACAATTTCTTTCTCAAAAGCCCCATTAACTTTCCTGACAGTGGGATATCTGACCTGTTTTTCCTGTCTTGAGGTTAAATGTTATGTGGACAAAAGGGGTATTTAGTTTTTTGGTCCTTGAGGGAAATTGAGATTGTTTCCAGAGATGGGCTGAGATAGTCCAGGGAAGATGGCAGTGGAGGTGGTCATCACACCTCATGCTCACTCGGCAAATCAAGTGGCTTGGGGTTTGTGTCTCTCAGCCCCTTCGGAGTTCTAAGGACACGTTCTGGTCCACTAGCCCTCTGGTCAGGGGACACCAACCCTGCCTCTCCGAGGAGGAGCTTGGCTGGGCCCCAGAGCTCAGCAGTGGTCCTGGGCCTTCTCTGAGGTGGTGCTGATCTTGCTGGCAGAGTGCACAGTGGGACCTGTGGACAGCACGGTGCCTGCAGGGGCCACGATCTGGGTGGGTGCTAGCTCCCTACCAGGAGGTCAGCTCTCCTGCCAGGGACTGGGCGGGGTGCTCGCTGCCCACCGTGGGGTCTGCCTCTCTTGCTAGGGACAGGGCGGGTGCTGGTCCCCCATTGTGGGGTCACCCTCTCCTACTAGGAACAGGGCAGGAAACTGGCTCCCTGTTGTGGGGTCCACCTCTCCTGGTAGGGAGGGTGTGTCTATCCTTCCTACAGAGAGGAAAGAGCCACCACACTCCAGTCCCGGCACCCTGATGCTCATGCCCTGGGTTGGGTTCTCATCATCAGGTGAGGGCCCTGCAGAGGCAGCCTCACAGCGGGCCCCGCCCCCACGTCAGAAGCTGCGTCGCCGCATCGTGTGCTTCCACAGGCCTCGGCCCACCCTCAGAGTATGTCAGTGCCCCCAAGGGACAATGGTTCTGAGGCCACACCCATACACTCACCCCAAAGCCAGAGCCCAGCTTTCTTTAAAGCCAGGTCTATGATGTCCCTTACTTCTGAGCCAACCCCACTTGCCAGCCCCTATCCCATCCATCTGTCCTCACGGTCACCTTCCTCTCACTCTCAAAAGCTTCTTGCTTCCTGCGCTGCCCCCCACCCCACCCTTCAACCCCGTGACCGGTAGGCACAGCCTTCCCTGGCCCTCTCACTGCCCCCAGCCTCTGCGTTTCCCACAGCATGCCACGCTAGCTCCCAGCCGCTTCCCCTGGGGACTGTGACTACCATGATGTGGCTCCGTGGGTGGGAGTGGGGCCACGCTCCTGCCCTCTTTTGGGTCCATCTCACTGTGCCCCACCACCTTAAGAGGTGGTCATCATCGCCTGGTGGCAGATGAAAGAAGTGGCCTGGGGAGGCCAGGTGACTCACCCACCCATTGCGGAAAAGCGGAGTCCTGCCTGAACGTTCTGATCTCAAGCTCCTGCCTCTTCCGCTCAGCTTCGCTGCCTTGGAAAATGGCCATGGCCCCTAGAAAGAGCCTGCTGGGGTGCTTAACATACACGCCAGGCGTGGGGACTGCCCCGGGGCGGGCGGGTCTGCAGCACGAGCTGGGCTGTGGAATTGCCCTGTGGCCACGCCCACACTTGGTCTGTGGTCACGCCCACACTTGCCCTATGGCCGCGCCCTCACTTGGTCTGTGGCCACGCCCACACTTGGTCTCTGGTCACACCCACACTTGCCCTATGGCCGCGCCCACACTTGGTCTGTGGCCACGCCCACATTTAGCCGCCCTGCAGCCCATCTGGGGGACAGCCCGGCTGGCTTCTTTCCCTGCAGATTCTCTGCGCTCTCAGACTGGCACACCCCATTCATCCAGTCTGCCCAGTGCCCTGAAGACACCAGCGAGAGGGCCCCGTCACAGTTCCAGGGTTCTCTGTCCCTGCATGCTGCACTGTCAGGCTGGTGTGTGGGTGTGGCGCCGGGTCAGGGAGGATGCGGCGTGGGCCGCTCCTGCTGCCCAGCACGGCCCCTCTCAGGCGACTCCCCCGTGCTCGCAGCCTTTGTCTTCACCACTCCGGCCTCCACGTGTGCAGGATTTGGGGGAAGGTCGGGGCACAGGCGAGTCCCACCGGTCTGCGCTTCCTCTGTGGCACCAAGCCCTCCCAGTTCACACTGCTTCCGTCGCCAGTTCAGAGGGAGCATGGCCACCTGGTCAGAAGAGAGCCAGGCAAGAGTGTGAAGCCACCGACCCCTTTGACAACCAGAGTCGTACAGCTGGGGTGCATATGGGGGCGTCCCAGGGCCAACCCCACACATCAAGCCTCAGTTACCACCTCTGCACTGGGGCTGGACGCTGCCAGGGCTGCTTGAGGAGCTGACGGTGGTGTTGGGCCACAAAGGGGTGAACATTTACAGGACTGGCTGCCAAGCTCTCCTCCTCGTCTCCACATTCAAGCATGCATTGACAGCAGGTGCTATTCAGGTGTGAGCTGCACCCCTGTGGTCTCTCCAGCTCCGTGTGTTCTGCCAAGGCCATCATCTGCTTCCCCCAGATTCCCCTCACGAGTCCACGTGGAAGGGGCCTGGCTGGCCAAGCATCCAGCCTCACCTTGAGCCATCAGCCCTGGCGTGGTGGCACTTAGAGATTTCACCTGGCTCCTGCAGCCATTAGCTGGGCCTGGTGAGCAGGGCAAAGACTGGAAGGTCCACAGCGTATGGACAAGAGGCATGGGCCCCACTGTCAGAATCCCAAACCTACCTTCTATCCGGGTGGCCTGAGTGAGTGGCCTCGTCTTTTGGAACTAGAGATGGTTTCCAGGGTTGGCAGGGACGGACACCAAGGGTGTCCCTGGCTGGTGCAGACAGTTACCAGATCAGCCGCTCACTGAAGGTCAGAGGTGTGAGTCCACCCAGAGGCGCTTTGGAGGAAAATCCTGATTTTCCAGAAAATAAAACATGAAAACTCTACAGAGCACAGTTCTACCCTGACTCTCATGGGGGTGCCGTGAGTCGAAATGGGCTTGACACCAAGGTGGGGGGCGATTGTTGGGTGCCATCAAGTTGTCTTTGACACCTAGCAACTCCACTGTGGTAGTTAAGGTTGTGTGTCAGCTTGGCTGGGCCTGGTGGAGTGGCTGGGCAGCTGGTGGTAGTTATTCCCCATGATGAGACTGGCAGTCAGCTCCATGGTGGGATCTACCACAAGCAGCCTTTGGGATGTGGTCTGCTTCTGTATGTAAGGAGAAGCCTTGGGAATGGTCTCTAGCTCATGACACGCTTGAACCCTGCACGTAGCCGTGTTGTTCAGCAGCCTGCTATGCTCTGCTGACCTGGGGACTTTCAGTGGACTTGAATCAATGGCCTGCTGTGTTGTTTGGTAACATTGGAACTTTGTCTTTTTACTTGTCAACCTTGGGTTTGTCAGCCTCAGCAGCCAACAGCTGAGTGAAGGAAAACCTCTCTGCCAGCTTGGGGGAAGGTCCGTGTCTCCTTGGAGCGTCTGTGGGCTGGGCATTCTTTGGAGATCTCCCTGTTTTAGCTTCAGTCTTCCGCTGGGTCTAGGAGGTTCTTAGCACAGGGCACCCCAAGTGCAAAGGAAGTGCTCCACTCCTGGCTCTTCTCTCTTGTTGACAGTAGGTCCCTTTCGTCTCTGCTCATTTGTTGGGCTCTTTCGTATCTCACAAGAGATAGACTCAAGATACAGCTTAACCCTGTAGATTGCATCCTGCCTCATTAACATCGTAGAGGTTAGGATTTACAATGGGTAGGAAAATAACACCAGATCACAAAATGGAGTATAATTACATGATATTGAGAATCATGGCCTAGCCAAGGCAACACTTATTTTGGGGGATTCACTTCAGTCCACAGCAGAGGGGATGAAAGTATCCATTGTTCTGTCCTTTTAACTG